GCGCGCAAGCTTCCTTTTAGTTGCTACGTGCTCGTTGCAGTGTGAATGCTTACGCCGCCAGTTCTTCGCATGGGGAAACCGACTCCGCCATCGGGGTGTACCCCCCCGCTTACCTTTTGGCGGCGATCGATGGGGGAAGTGATAAGGAGAAGGCCTTCTCAGAAGGCTCGGAAGTCCCACGGCCTTATGAGCAGTTTTCTAAACCTTTCCCGAAGACGCACAAAACTTCTCAGAAGGCGCGAGGGCTTCTGAGAAGTTCCGCCGCCTTCCGAGCAAGCCTTCTCCTTCTCGCTTCCCCCCCTCGCTCGCCGCCGAACCTTTGCATCCGACTTCACTGGCTCCATGCCCTCTGAAACTTGCCCCGTGCCGCTTTGTCACGGCGGCCAGCGGGCTCTCTGCGCTCAGGGGAACTCTGTGCTTCGTCGCAGTGTGTCGCCTGATGCCGCGCCCACTCCGCACACCACGAGCCATAGGCGCACTGCGGCAGTCGTGACGCGGTAACAGGCCACGCGGGGCGCTCCAAAAAGGGCCCCGCCTTCGAGGATGGGAGGAGCTGTCATCCCTTCCGCGGCGGATGGCGGCAGAAGGGCCGCGGGAGGTCGGCGGAAGTAGAACGAGGCCGCCTCCGCTGGCGGAAGCTGGGGGAAGGGCGGCGGAAGGTGGCGGAGGTGAAGCAGGCTCCGCCAAGAGATGCACACGTTTTGGAGTTCAGGATTTCCGAAACCCGTCATGTGTTTGCATTGAGCGTGCGTTGCGTCTGCATTGCCTTGTGTTGCATGGCGCTGTACGTCACTGCGCTGCGTTCGCAACGCATGGTTTTCGCGTGGCTTTCACGACGCATCGTACTCCATTGCGTTCAATGTCGTTGTATTGTATTCCACGTTTTATTGCATTGCTTTGCCTGGCATTTGCATCGCGCTGGCGGCGACAGCGCCGTCGACGACGGTGGCGGGGCGTCGATGACGGCGGCGGCGGTGGCGGCGATGGCGACAACGACGGCGGCGGCAGCGGCGACTGTGGAGACGGCGACCACGGACCACGACAACGTGGGCGATGACGACGGCGACGACGACGACGACAACGACGTCGTCCTCGTCGTCGTCGTCGTCGTCGTCATCGTCGTCGTCCTCGTCGTCGTCCTCGTCGTCATCGTCGTCGTCGTCTTGAATCTACGCATATGCTGTGCTGTGCCGCAGAGTGGTGCCGTGCCGTGCCGTCTCGTGTGCTGCCGTGTGCCGTGTGCCGCGCAGAAGCTGGCGCGGTGCGGTGTCGTCGGCTGGTGTGCTGTTCCGTGGCGTGTGGTGCGGGGTGTCGCCCGACGCGCGACCTGCTGCCGCGTCGCGCCGCACCGTGGTGCCGTACCCAGACCTCCTCGCGTGCGAAAAAATCACGACGGGAGTTTTTTTCCCAATTTTCGGCTTCCGGGGGCCAGTACTGGGGCTCAGGACCGTACAGGACGAAAAAATTGGTCCCGGGGAAGGGGTCCAGACCTCTGGGGGTCGACGTTGTGAAAAAATCACGACGTCGGGGGTTGGGGTACCGTGCTCTTTCCCATCAAGTGTCTGCACGTGCTGTTCGGGTTATTTTGGTGGGTTCTCGTTCTGATGGATTTCTCGTTTCGCTGGGGTTCTCGCTTGTTTTGGTGATGATCCCGGCCCTCCTTTGGGTGGGGTTCTTGTCTTGATCTGGGCTCCTCTGGGTTCCTCCTTTCTCCGCATCCCCTGCGTCCTCTCTGCGCCTGCCATTTCCCGAGTATTCCTGAGCCCCCTTGGGGGTCCAGCAGAGCCGTGTGACCCAAGTGACCCCGTTGCCTTGGATGCACCTGCGCGCTCAACTGTTGCTGTTTCCAGAGCATGCGGAGTCCAGTGGAGCTGTGGCCTACACATGCCCAAACGAGACCTTCTCTTTTTGAGCGCTTCAATGCGTCGGACCATCTGTCCTTCGTGAGCCCGTGGGAAGCCCTGCGGAGCGGTTGTTTCGCGGACTCAAATGGGATCTCGTTTCCCTGGGCGCCCCCAAGCATGGAAGTGACGCCACCTGCCCCCTGGGGAGGCTAGCGGATCTGTGTGCTGCCTGGGCCCAGAGAAGATATCGACATCCCAGGTATTCCGTATGTGGATTTGCCGTCATTTTGAGAACCATGCGGACCCAAGCAAGACCCTGCTTCCCTGGATGCCCCCAGGCTTGATATTGTTGCCATTTTCAAAGTTTGGGGTTGGGTGGTGGGGTCTGACGGGTGGGATTTGCTCGGATTCACATAGAGACCACGTCGCTTTTGCGTGCGCCCCCGAGCGCGGAACCGTCGCAATTTTCAGGGCCCGTAGTGGGAGCCCCAACGGAGCGATTACTGGTGCCAACCCAGATGAGACCTCGCCTCCCTGGGTTTTCCACAGCGATAGCACTGTGCGTACCCACTTTCTGAGCACATCGGTGTTCTAGCAGAACGGGGGCCTGCACAGAGGGACACGAGTCCTCTCCGCCTCGGGTGCTCCGACCCCTGGACCTATCACCGCTCTTTGCCTGGAGAGTCCAGCGGGGCAGCGGCCGACTTCGATCTCGCTTCATCGGCGGAGATGTGACTTCGGCTGACGAGCAAATTGCCAGAATTATACTTTTCCCTGGCGTGTAGCTGTCTCAGCTGTCAGAGCCCGTGGGGGCACCAACGGAGCATCGACGTACGATAACCCAGATGAGACCTCGCCCCCTTGGGTGCCCCCTAGCGTAGAACGGTCGCCACTTTGTGATCCCCTATGGAGCTCACCGGGGTGGTGACAGACGCGGACTGGAGTTAAGTCTGCGCTTCCCTGGGTGCCCAAGCGTGGGGCTGTCGCCACGTTCTGAGCCCCTGAGCGGGTTGTGCACGTCCCTGGGATTGTCATTCAATATCTCCGCCTCCTGTATAGACCGCAGCCCGCAACATCCGCCTCCACCTCTGCCGCCGCAGTATGTGGTCACGTGCATCATAATGCAGAAGAACGGCTCCCCGCTGCACACGGGCCTCGCGCTGCACTGGGACTTCAGTGCTTGTCAATTTTGGGGTGATGCGAGTACAGAGGGGTGCAGCCTCGGGTTGTGTTCGGACATTGAAGTAAAAGGGTCTGACTGGCTCCCGAGAGTCCAGAGAGTCCCTGACACGCCAGAGAGGGTCCTGCGGCCTCGGGGTCTGGTGTTGACGTATCTGGCATGTCGGCGCAGTGATCAGTGGAACGGGTAAAGAGCCTGGAGGGAGAGGAGTGGGCCCTGCAGAACGGCTGCATTGGTGGAGCTGTCTTTTGTGCCACCATTGGAGGACGCGGACGGCCTTGCGAGCGCTGGAGTTCGTGGCCTCACAGGCCAAAGTCCAGCCACTCTCAAACGGTCACGTCTGATCGGCAGCGTCCCCATGCACCGAGAACCCATCAGGATCGCCGCTGCCTGCGGTCCGAGTCTGACGAGAGGGGTGGAGCTATGAACTCGGGAGGTGTCGTGGTCTGCTTTGCCCGTGCGCCCACCTCCCCTCCCTTCTCTTGCAGACTTTCCTCGGCGCCACCCCAACATACTAATGCTAAGTGTGCGTCGCCCCCCTAGGGGCGACGCGCGCACAGATAAATCTTATTGTATATGCGTCGTGGCGGGCGCTTTCTGGCCACACCGCTCGGGGACCGATATACTACAAGATGGGTATAGTATATGTTCGGGTCGGACGCGTGCCTCCAATGAGGATCTATAGTGCTGGTATGTCTCTGTACGTCCCATTTTCCACCCTTCATGCAGATACCCAAGCTCATCTCCGTGATGACCTTTTCTGGCGATCTCGGGGGAGTCTTCTCGTAACTGGCAGGATTGATGGGGACTCGGGGCAGGGGATGTGGCTGCGAGCGGACGAGGCGCATCTCAGATGCTGCTCTGTTAGCGTCTGACCTCTCAGACCACGGCTGCTCAGTTGAGGCAGCGTGGGGCCTCCGGCAGCCCCAAGCTGGCGCGCAAGAGTCTTCGGTGGAGACGCGCGCCCAGAGAGGCTTGGCGCAGGGGGAGCGTCAGGGTGCAAGGTGGCGCCCCCCCCTGCCCCCGGGCACCCACGGGCTCCCTTGTCGCCGTCGCCGTCATCCGCCTGCTCCCGCTGCTCCCCCGCTGCCGGGGGGACTCGAGGAGCTCTCGCCCCACTGCTTTCGGGCCCCTCGGGGTGCTGGACCTTCCAGGGTGGCCCTCCCTGATCCCTGGGGACGCGCCAGGCGAGGAGAGAGGGACCCAGTCAAGCGAGGCCCTGACCTCTGCCGGACGGGGTCCCCAGAACTTGGCGCCCCCAGTGGTTTCTTGCTGGCCTCGGGGCCCGGCGAAGGGCCCCCTGGCGACCGAAGACGTCCAAAGCCTTCCCGTCGTCTTCGTTTGTTGCTTTGCTGTGGTTTGGGTCGCGACGACATGGTCTCGGCTGGCCCTTTCCCGTTTCGCTTTCGTGCCTCGATTCGCCTCCAGTGCGGCCCCCGGGGCTCGCTGACCGGTGCCTGACTGTCCTGGACCGCGCCCGCGGACTTTTTGTTTGTTTTTCCACGACGCGAGCTTGTCTGGGATCGGCGGCGCGCCCGGGGGGAAGTGAGAAGGGGAAGGCCTTCTCAGAAGGCTCGGAAGTCCCCCGGCCTTCTGGAAAGCCCCCCCCTCGCGCGCCGCCGATGGGAGGGAGCCTCCTGCCCGCGCGTCGCTGCGGTCTCCTGGCCGCCCGCGCGGCGCGCGCGCCGGAGCTGCGCGCGCGCCGCGGGCGCCCGTAGGACACGAAGACGGACGGCGTCTCCTGCGTCCAGGCGGGCCGGGGCTCGGCCGGCGCCTGCCCTGGCGACCTCGGGGGAGGAGCGGGGGAGGAACGGGGAACCCAGACCTCGAGGAGGACAAGACGACATACAGTGGAGACCCATGCCAAGAAGCGCCCTGCTTGCCTCCAGAGTGTCCTGGGTTTCTTGGGTTTCGAGGCTTTTGCGATGGACGTCGCGACGTTCCCACACCAAAAGAACCAATGGACGCCCTGGGGTCTCAGGGTTGGGCTTCTCGTGAGGGTTTCTTGTGGTCGGGCCCCTACAGTAAACATGAACTTTTGGTTACTGTTGACGCTCCGCGCGGATTTCTTGGATCCGCGCTGGGCCCCCCCTGGCGGTGCCTCCGGCGCCACTCCCGGCGCGCGGAGCGCGCCAGGGAGGGGGGTCCAGCGCAGATCCAAGAATTCCGCGCGGAGCGCCAAAACATTTATGTTCATGGCCCTGTTTCTTCTTCTGATGCCGCTACCCCTGCCCCGCTTTCCCCTCTTCGGGCCTCCTGGGAGGCCCTCGGCGCCGTCGCTGGATGCGCCTCGGGATCCTGGCGAGAGCGCACCCTGGGAGAGGCCCGGGGAGTAGCGGTATCGGTACCTTGTGGACCCCCCACGATCGTTGGCCGCCCGCTGCTCTCTACAGTGGAGACCCATGCCAAGAAACACCCTGCTTGCCTCCAGGGTGCACTGTTTCTTTTGTGAAAGCGTGACGTTCCCACACCAAGAGTCAATGGACGTCCTGGGGTCTCAGGGCTGGATGTCTTGTGGGCGGCTTCTTCTGGTCGGGCCCGTGGTTGGCCCCGGACGTCGGGGGCGGGAGAGCACGCGCCGCTTCTGGGGATCCGCAGGCCCGCTCCGGGCCGGGTCTGGGGGGGCCTGGGCCAGGAGAGAGTGCATACGGTGGGGGCGCGCTCGCTCAGGCGTGCGCCAGGAGGATTCAGACCCTGGGGGGTTCCTTCTCTGACAAGGGCGGCGGTGACATCAATGGCCAAGCCTCCATTGGTGTTCCACTGGCTTCCGGACCCTGGGTTCCCTATCGACGGGTTCCTGATCTGGTGCCGTCACCGTGCTCGGTCTGGGCTCACAAGGGGGCAGCAGGGGCCCGGTGGTGGGGGTGGTGCAAGCCCTCCCTCTCTCCGATGCGGGGGGGGGAGGGCCGGTGGCGGGGACGTCTCCCAACCTCCTCGGCTGAGGCTGATCGCCCTCGGTTTCCACTGCGTCCGAGGCACCAGGGGCCAATCAGAGAGTCCCGGTGAGTGCACTGCGGGTGCAGCTGGCGCCCGAGGGATGTGTCGCTTGATCCATGCATTCTGTGCGATGCCTCCGCGTCTTGTACGGTACGATTTCCCCCTGCGTGCCTCGACTTGCCGCGGCTCCTGTCCTGGCTTCAAGCCCTCTACCATCTGGCCATCCCTCGTCCCGAGGAGCAAGCATCGGCACAGACATCACCTTCCGGAGGTCCGCGCTGGGCCGCTGCTGGATCCACCCTGGCGTCACCGCTGGCGCCGCCCCTGGCGCGCCAGGGGAGAGGGGTCCAGGGCCGACCCAAGAAGTCCACGCGGACCCCCGACAGCTATTTGTTGCTTGCTCTGCTGCCCCCTCTGCCGCTCCCTTCCCTCTGTTGCCCTCGGCGCTGGCCTGCTCAGCCCCGCTCTTCCAGCTCCCCCGCCTCCCGTTGCTTCGCTTGTGCATCGTCGGCTCGCAACGACTTGCACCCCGTGCTCTTCGTTGGAGTTCTGGCTTGCGCCCGTGCAGTCGTGTGCTTCTGCGTGCGTGCTTCGCACTACTCTCGCAGCGGTCTGCGACGTGTCCAGCCCGTCTGAACCAGGGATATCGGGAGGCGGAGGAGGGTGAAGAGAACCTACATCCCCATCTAGGGGGGGTAAACCGGCCGGTGTGGGGCCCAGGCCACGCCAGTGGGGGACAGGGATCGGTGAAACGATGCTCAGAAGAAATGCGGAGGACGGGGACTGGCACCCGTATCGGCTTCATCCCAACACAGTAGTACTGTGTGTGCGTCGCCCCCCCCCCCCCCCCAGGGGCGACGCGCGCACCGAGAAATCTTGTCGTATGAGTCGTGTCGGGCGCTTCCTGGCCCCACCGCTCGGGAAACGATGTACTGCAAGATGGGTATACTGTGTGATCGGGTCGGACGCGCGCCTCCAAGGAGGACATACAGTGGAGATCCATGCCAAGAAACACCCTGCTTGCCTCCAGGGTGCCCTGGGTTTCTTGGGTTTCGATTGGTTTTGCGACGGAAAGCGTGACGTTCCCACACCAAAGATCAAAGGACGTCCTGGAGTCTCCGGGTTGGGTTTCTTGTGGAAGGTTTCTTGCGGACCGGCCTCCACTATATAGTGGGCCACCCTGGGCCACGGCATGGTGCACCTGCCCCCGTGGCCTCGGACGGGAGGGCGTGTGCGCCACGTGCCAGGGCCCAGGATGATGACCCTGGCCAGGCCGGGCGGCGCGTGAAAAGGCGCCCTCCGTGTATCCTCAGCCTATTGCGCGCCAGCCAATTCGCATTTCGGCCGCCCCGATTAGCCTTCAGTCGGGCATGTCCCTCTGCAGGAGGAATAGTCAAAAATAGTTTTCTTTGACTATGTTCAATTTCTCGTCCAAAATCCGCCTGTAGGAGGACATGCCCGACCTAGAATTAGCCACACGCTGGAGCGGACTGCCTCTGCCTGTATCCTCAGCCTTCTCACTGTTCGGCGGCGCCCCCAGGGGGGACGCGAAAGGGGGCAGGCCTTCTCAGAAGGCGGCGGGGCTTCGAAGGCCCGCCCCCGCTCGCGTCCCCCCCGAGCTCGCCGCACTACCGCGCATGCCACGCTGGCTTGGGTCGCCCGGCGCGCGCGTCTGCCCAGCCGCTCCCGAGAGCACGCCACCTGCCCGCTCCTCCCCAGAAATCCTGCGCTTCGATGCTTTGGAGACGTGGGCCCCCCCCGACCACTCGACCGCTTCCCCTGGGACTGATTTTGCATCCCGAGTCGCCCTTGGACGGCCCCGAGGCCCAGCAGGGGCCCCGAGAGGCCGAGAACGAGAAGAGTCCGCCGCATCGACTCCGAGACGCCCGATGCCTGGGCCCCTTTGCTGCGCGGCCGCGCCCCCGCGCGGCCCCTTCGCGGCAGGTGGGCCTCGACACGATGGACGTCATCGTCACGGTCTACGCGTGCATGATCTGAAGCCGGCGCCGGGGTGCAGACCGCCGCGCTGGTGGGGTGGGGGGGGGGGGGGGTGGCGCGGGCCAGCCCGCAGGAGAGACGGGGGGCCCCGGACGAGCGGGGCCCCGGACGAGCCCCGTGCCTCGGCGGCGAGATCCGAGCCCCGCCTCCGCCGATCCCCGCGGTCCAGGCAGCTCGAGGGGCGGCGGGGGTGGGGCTCCGCATTCGCCGAGGACGTGGCGGGGTCCGAGCCCTGCCTGCGGGCCCCAAGAGTATGAAAACCACCACCACGTCGCTTCCTCCTCCCTCCTCTGCCCCTCGTGCCTTGCCTCCTTCCCAGGGGGAGGGAGGGGGGTGAGGGAGGTGGTGGTGGTGTAGATGTTTGGGCCCCGCACTGCCGTCGCCGGTCCACGGTTTAGGCAGCTCGAGGGGCGGCGGGGGTGGGGCTCGGCGTCCGTCGAGCATTCGAATACAGAATCGACTACAGAATGCACTTGCCACAGAATAATGGTTGTCTTCGTCGACCATACGCAGAATGCTATCACATCCAGACACGCTCTTTGCCTTTTCGCAGAGTCGACGACCACTTCAATCGTGGGGTGGATCAAGTCTGCAGTCGATCCCCGACTCGAAACGTGTGGCGAAGTCCGAGCCCTGCCCCCGTCTTCCATCGACTCAGGAGAATCGACGGCTGGCGTGGAGATGCCGCTTGCTTTCGCCGTTCTCGGCCTCCCGAGGCCCTCCCTGGGCCCGGGCGGCCGTCAGAAACTTCTTTTGCGTCGGCGGCTCGGCAGAGATTGACTGTGCTGGCGATGAGAGGTTTAGACGGGGATGCCGTTGGAGCGAACTGTGCCGCCATGCAAGGGGAGGAGGGAGGAAGGACGCGTCAGAAACAGACCCGGGATGAATCGCTGGTCCCGGGGGGAACCCCGCGGGTCAGGGCCAGTCTCCACCAGGACCCCTTTCCCTCCTGCTGAGGCGGGGAGGCGAGGGTGACCGTGGCGCACCCAGACATGCGGTGCCTTGGCTTCTGCGATGCGCGGTCCCCAGATGTCCCGAGCCCTTCCGTGGGGCAGCTTTTTCACCCTGGGCCAGGCTTTGCTGGCCCCGTGCTTGGCGAGGGCCCCCAGAGGCCGAAAACGGCCCGAAACCTCCCGTCGTGACCTTACCGGGATGCGAGCACGTCCGGGTCCCCTCCTGCCGAGGTGGGGAGGCGAGAGTGGCTGCGGCGCACCCTCCTCCGTCGTTGCTCTCCTGCTAGCGATGCCGCGCGTCGCATCCTCCTCCTTCTCCTCCTCCTCCTCCTCCTCCTCCTCCTCCTCATCATCATCATCATCATCATCACCATCCTTCTCCTCCTCCTCCTCCTCCTCCTCCTCCTCATCATCATCATCATCATCACTGCCACCATCATCTTCTTTCTCCGGCCGCTGGAAGACCAGTCCGAGTCTCGTGGCCACCTGCCTCGCCGTCCGGCCCGCGCGCTGCCCTCACTGCGCGGCGGAGGGGCGGTCGGGTCGCCACGAGCCGCCACCCGAGACCGCTCGTCGATCTCTGGCCGCTGGGGAGGGCCCCCTGCGAGCCCGGACATTCGGAGGAGGAGAAGGTACACATCCTCTACCCCCTCGCCCGTTTCCCCCTTTTTGGGCCTCATGGTAGCCGACACGTTCGCAATAGCCGTAACGCCGTATCTCCTGACCGTCGCCTCTCCCGCTGTTGCCTCGATATGGCAGAACAGCAGATCCTAACTCTGGATCCGCCATGCTCTTCCAGCGTCCCTGACAGCGGTTTCCGCCCTGCTTTGCCGTTGCCGCTTCCGTCGTGCAGGGAAGGGGCAGCCCTACCAGCTGTCCCCTGTGGCTTTCCCCTGTCTGAGGTGGATGTTTTCTCAAACGCTATGCCTGCAAACTCATGTGGCACGGTCGCCCTTGTTGGGCTGTTGCCTGATCCAATCAAAGCTGCGGAGAAGAGAAGGTGCGAGTAGGGGCAAAAACCAGGGGCAAACATTGAGTGAACGCCCCTGTGCTTCTCGCCTTTCCGCTCGCCCCCCCACGCCCGCCCACCGCGTCTGGAGCGTAAGGCGGCGCAGTGCCACGTGCCACGGCCCGACGCGAGAATTCAGGGAAGGGCTTCAGTTATGGAAGCCAGTGATTGGATCTGTTAGAGTGTCCATTGTCATGGCATCCACAAGGCTTCAGCAAAAGCGCTCCCGACATGCCTGTATACGCCGATCCTGGATCTTGTGGTGGATGCAGAGCCTTTGCTAGTCGTGGGATACTCGCTTGCAGGCATGACCGCAGGTAATGTGTAGCCGGGTCCCAAGCGGGTCACGGCTGGCCGTTGCAGTTGTGTTCCTTTTGCGCTTCCACGTGGACCCACCTTCCTATGCTGGAGGACGCGAGCGCATGGGGTGAAGCCACACTTGTGATTCATATGCTCACAGCTCCGTCGGGAGCGCACCCTGTTCCCTAAGCAGCGCATGCTGAAGTTTTTTTGAAAGCTAATACGTGTAGGACAACTTGGCGGCGAGCGAGGGGGGGAGTGAAAAGGGGCGGGTCTTCTCAGAAGGCTCGGAAGTCCCTCGGCCTTCTGAGAAGTTTTCTAAGCCTTCCCCGAAGACACAAGAAGCTTCTCAGAAGGCGCGAGGGCTTCTGAGAAGTCCCGCCGCCTCCTGAGAAGGCCTTCTCCTTCTCATTTCCCTCCCTCGCTCGCCGCCGACAAAAGAGGGGCTGAGTGTGGGTCCAGCTCAGATCCAAGAAATTCGAGCGGACCGTCGAAAGTTCGTGTTTATGCCGCTCGCTCTTCTTCAAGACTCGCCCGCTACCTTCTGCCACACACGAGAGCGGAGATCAGGGAAGGGGGGAGCGCCTGGTCGAACCAAACGCGACGCCTGTCAGGCGGCTTCTTTCCTCTGGGGCAACGCAGAGCAAGGCAGCATAACGGAACGTAATGCAACACGATACAGAGCAGCGCGAAGCCGTGTATGGCAATCAATGCGATACGACGCAGTGCAACGTAAGTGAATACAGTGCAATCAAAGCCACGCCAAGACATGCAACGCAATGCAACACAGTCGAACACCATGCAATGAAACACAATTCAGTTTAACACAACAATTCAAGCACTGTCGATATACGCAAACATGGCAAGACATGCAGAACGATGCAATGCAATGCAATGCAATGCAATGCAATGCAATGCAATGCAATGCAATGCAATGCAATGCAATGCAATGCAATGCAATGCAATGCAATGCAATGCAAACATAAGTAACGCAATGCAGCTAAAGCAATACGAGTTAAGGCCAAATTGTACAACTACCACGCTCCTGAAGACAAACTTGGCACAGGTGGCCATAGGTTTCATGAAATGCCTCGGGGTTCGCATCAGAGTCTTCATGGGACTGTCTGGTCATGGGGTCATCTTCTCGCATCGGCGCACCCCCTCCCCCGTTCAACGTTGCATCGAACCCCCGGGCGCGACAGCGGTCTCGTTACGAGCCAACTTTGGATGGGGGAGGGGGGGCTTCTGAGTCGATCCGTCACGTCTTTCTTTTCAGGAAGGCTGCACATACACACGTGGAATGCACAGCAGATCCGAGCGAAGCGATGCGAAGCAATTCAGCACAACGCCCTGCACTGCAAGGCAGAGTGATGCCAAAGCAGAGCAGAGCGGCGCAGCGGGCCGCCCGGGCGACTCGGCAGAGCGGGCCGCCCACGCTCGCGGCACCGGCGGCTGTGCGCCCTGGGGGCGAGTCGGTGAGGCGGCCGCGCCGTGGCCACCCGGTCCTCTGCACAGCAGAGGCTGGCCGGGGGGGGAAGGTGGCGAGCGGCTGCTCCGAGCATGCCTCACCAGCTCGACGTAAGAGCGACCGACCTTTGGCCAGAGTGACCTTCTGGTGCGCGGGCCCACGGGGGTCCCGATCGCCGATCGCGATTGCGACAGCAGCGTCTGACGCGCCTGTGTTTGGTCCTCCCGCAGCGCCCAAAAAGCCGCGCACCAAAGGCCGCTCTTACCCCGGGTCACTCTTGCGTGTAGCCGAGCCTCATTGAAGGTGGCAGTACGGACTGTTTTTGGCATCTCTGCCAGTACGGGTAGGTCACAGGAAGGACCGTGGAGGTGGCGGAGGAGGTGGCGGAGGTGGACGGCGGGCTTTGCCCCAGGTGATGCGGTCTTCAAACAAGACCGGCTGTTGTTCCTGTAGGTCGTGCTGCTCTTCTGGGGTCGCGGCATGATCAACGTTTTCTTCGAGTCTTTTTGTCCTCACAACCGATGACAGCACTCGGGGTTCCCCTTCGGGGGGCACTGGCTCCCGTCTTGGGGACCCAGATCGGTCGCCAGAACCGCATTTCGAGCGTGCCCGCACGTCCTAGATCCAGACCATGCTGGCGTCCCAGGGCCGTCCCCAGTGCATCTCGTGCGAGTCTGCTCGAGGATGGTGTGCCCCAGGTCCAGACAATGGTGCGTCCCAGGACTGTCCCAGATTCATCTCGTGCGCGGCTGTTCGTGCGTCCCAGGCCTTGGCAGCTGTGCGCCCCCGGACACGTCCCCAGTCACGTCCCCAGACGCGCCCTCAGACAGTCCCCTGACACGTATCCCCAGGCACGCCCCTGGACACGGTCCCAGGGACGTTTTTTGACGCCCTCAGACGCGTCCCCAGACACAGCCCCAGGCCTGTCCTCAGGCACGTCCCCATGACACGGCTCCAGGAATCTCCGCTGACGCGGCCTTACACACGCCCTCAGACACGCCCCCAGACGCGCCCCCTTCCACAGGCGACGCATTCCTGGTGGAGATGTAAACTGAAATGCGGGTGCTTTGCTGGTCTAATCAGCGTTACCATGCGCACATTCGCGTTCAGATCAGACTGCCGGCGGTATTTCTGATCACACCCTGCACCTCGTCAGCGCCAGCGTGAGACAGTCGTAGCCGCCAGTCGCTGGCGCCACGCGCCTGCAGTTGCCGGCTCAACGCACCAGGTGCCCGAGCTGGCGTGGAAGGCATGCCGCCGCGCTCGGTCTTTCTCGTGCTCGGGGGTCGGAGGGGGAGCGACCGCTGCTGCCGCGCCGGAGAGCGGGGGGCGGAGGTCGCGATGCCATTTGCCGCGGCCGGCCTTGGCGGTGTGCTCGCTGCCCCAGCGGCCTCGGCGTGGAGCCGGTGGCGATCCGCGCCGCGAAGTGAGCGGGTCGGGCCCACGCGAGGCCGAGAAGGCGCCGAGTCCCTGCCTTGCCGTCTGCTCCCTTCCTCCGCTGCTCCGCCAGTGGCCCTGCTCAGTGGCAGGGCCCTCCCCCCCGGGGCCGCGCACCCGGGCCGCGCGCACCCGGAGTCCCGTGCTCCAGGACCGCATGGGCAGTTTGACGACCTGCTCATGTCGCGCACCTGGAGCCCTGTCCCCCCGGGTCGCGCGCACCCAGGATCTCCCTCCCCCCCGGGCCGCGCCCTCAGCTGCCATGACTCGGTGCTGGCGGTGAAACTTCAGTGTTGGATACCGCCAGAAGCGCTTCGTGGGAAGCTGGGAGCGTGGCAGCCCCCGGCACGTCTGCAGGGCGCTCGACGGCGTTGCCATTCGCAAAGGACGAGGCACGCCCCTGGCAGGGTGCTGGCCCTGGGGGGCCCTGGCCGCGGTCGGCTGGGTGAGGTGGGGCGCTCCAGAAGAGGGCTTCGCCGTCGAGGGATCGGGAGGTTGATTTCCCTCCTTCGGCGGAGGCTGGCAGAAGGCCAGAAGTCGGCGGAAGCAAGACCGGGACGGGCTCGCCAACAGAATCGGGGGGATTGTTGTCGGAAAAAGAGGTTGTTCCCCCCAAGTTGTGCCACATTCCCCACACAGTGCTTGCTCTGAAGGGGGTCTTACTTCTGAAATAAGGATCTGGGGTTGTCGGTCTGGCGGCTCCATGTTCGCCGTCGCCGCCCCTTCGCCGCCTTGTCGCCGCTTGTCGTCTGGAGGGGTTTGTCGGTCTGGCGGCTCCGTGCTCGCCATCGCCGCCCCGTCGCCGCCTCGTCGCCGCCCGTCGTCTGGAGGGGGTTGTCGGTCTAGCGGCTCCGGGCTCGCCGTCGCCGCCCCGTCGCTGCCTCGTCGCCACCCCGTCGCCGCCTCGTCGCCGCCCGTCGTCGGGGGGGGATTGTCGGTCTGGCGGCTCCGGGCGCGCCATCGCCGCCCCGTCGCCGCCTCGTCGCCGCCCCGTCGCCGCCTGCATTGCACAACGTAGACTGCATCACATCGGTTCTCCTTTCTAAATGAGTATTGGGATCTCCCCCCTGCACCCCCAGCGTTAATGGGACATTCTTGTGTATTGCAATTTGAACATGATTCTGACCCATCGTCCATCCTAAATATGAAATCGTACCATCCCAACCATCCCAGCCAGCTCAGAGTTCGCCCCCCCCCCCCCCGCCCAGCCCTTCACTCTCTGGAAAAAATACTCTGCGCGCGCACTCGTTTATCATCAATCTACAGTTCCCAGAAATCTTTTGCAACAAAATAGACGAAATATACACGCGCTCGTCGTCGCGCGCGCATGCCGAAATCTTTCAGAAACCTCGGGTTTCGAAAGGGTTTCAAAATCGAGGGTCACGAACACATATCAAACACATGGTTTCGCAACAACGGTTTTCAAAAACAACTAGCTTCGCGCTCTAGCGAATTCTTATGTAAGCCATGGTTTCACGCGTTTTCATAACATGCTACCAAGCGGGCCTCTCGCGCGCGCGTGTCGAAATCGTTCGAAGACCTTTGCGCGCGTGCTGTCAGACAATTCCCTTGCAACATGTGCGACGAAGTGCACGCGCGCGCGTCGTCGCGCGCGTAGGCCCAAATCCTCCCAAATCTTGAAATTTCGTGAGGATCTTAAAAACGAGTGCCCCGAGAACATATCAAAGCATGTGGTCTTGCAACACCCATTTTTCAACAACATCCTGCGCTCGCGGTCTTGCAGATTCGTAAGAAAATCATAGGTTTCTCAATGTTTTCATATATTTTTGCCCAACCGGCGTCTCGCGCCGTATGTCGACCTCATTTGAGCGCCCTTGCGCGCGTGCTGGGGGGGGGGGCACGATCTTTGTCAAATATTACCGCGCGGGCCACTCGTGCGCGTCGGCCGCGCGCGCATGTCGAACTTCTTTAAAAGCCTTCATCGCCGACGCGACGACATCGTCATCGTTGTCGGCGGGCGTGATCATCAGCGGCGCCGTCCTTGGCTGTGTCGTCGTCATGGCCACCAATGTCACCACCATTGCTACTCTCCATCATCGCGTCTACCGCTGTCGGCGTCGCCATGGCGCCGCTCCCGCTCAAGACACCGATTCGCACTGCAGTGCCCGCTGGGAAGTGCCCAACGGTCAGCGCCACCGCGGCCGCGTCGGTCGCGCCGCACTAGCTGGCCGCGCTGCGCGCGAGACCATGCGCGGGCTAGCGCGGCCGAAGAGATGCACCAGCCAACGCCAAGCAGTCATCGCAATCGCCGTCGCATGGGTTTTGCCAACCAAGCTACGGGTGGGTGGGGGGGATGATTGCGCGAACAGTGGAGCTGAGAACTCATTGCGAGCATTGGTGAATCCTCCTTTCTAAAAAGAGAATAGACTCTACCCCCCCCCCGGACTTAACGCTTCCCCCTGGGATAGTATAATTTCATATATATATATATACATATACTCTGCACACTCGTCCAGTCTAAATATGAAATCCCAGCCAAACCGGTATCCCCCCCTGAGGTTCCCTTGTTAAAAAACACTATGCGGTGACATTTTTTGTTCTAACATAGCACTTTTTCGCGAATCCCTTGCAACAAATGGGACGAAGTGCACACGCGCGCGTCGTCGCGCGCGCATGCCGGAATCCTTCAAAAACCTTCGGTGCCGGAAGGATTTCGCAATCGAGTTTCCAAACAACATACAACAACACATGGTTTCGCAACACGGATTTGCTAAAAAAACTTCCGCGCGAGCTGTTGCGAAATCTGAAGAAAACCATGGTTTTTCAATATTTTCGCGAAATGCTACCAAACGGGCGTCGCGCGCGCATGTCGAAGTCTGTCGAACGCCCTTGCGCGTGTGCCGTCGCGAGAATCCTCTGCAACAAATGGGACGAAGTGCAGACGCGCGCGTCGTTGCGGGCGTATGCCCAAAACCTTTGAAAACCCATCGGTTTCGGAAGGATTTCAAAAACGTGCGTCCAAAAAACATACAAAAACCCAATGTTTCGCAACACGGGTTTTCAACAAAATCGTGCGCGCGCGCGCTCTTGCGTCGTCGTCGTCGTCGTCGTCGTGGCCGTCCTCCCTCCTCCCGCGTCGTCGTCGTCGTCGCCTACGTCGTCCTCTGTCTTTCCTCGTGTTCGTCGTCGTCGTCCTCTTTGGCGTCGTGGTCGTTTCCGTCGTCGTTGTCGCCGTGGTCGTCTTTCCTCCTCCTCCCACGTCGTCGTCGTCGTCGTCCGTCGTCGGCGTCTCGTCGTCGTCCCTCCTATTTCGTCGCCGTCGTCGTCGTCGTTGTCGTCGTCGTCTTCCCTCCTCCCTCGTCGTTGTCGTCGCCGGCGTTGCCGTCCTTCCTCCTTCGTCGTCGTTCGCGTCGTCGCCGTCATCCCTCCTCCCTCGTCGTTGTCGTCGTTGTCGTCGTTGTCGCCGTCGTCGTCCTTCCTCCTCCCTCGTCGTCGCCTTCGTTGGCGTCGTCGTCGTCGTCTTCGTCGTCGTCGGCGTCGGCGTCGTTGTCGTCGTCGAAGTCGTTGGAGACGTCGTCGGTGTCGTCCTAGTCGTTGTCGTCGGTGTCGTCGTAGTCGGTCTGAACAGGTTTTGCAAACCAAGTTGCGGGTGGGTGGGTGGGATGTTTGCACGAGCAGTGGAGAGGACAGCTTCAAGACAATCAAAGTGGATTACGCCACATAGAGTGCACGGCGTATCTTCTCCTATGTGGAGGAAGCATCTACTACCCCCGTTCCGAGGCCGGACTTAGCGGTGCCCCCTGGGACACTGCAGTCTACGTGTGTTTCTGCCCCATGGTTGATTTTCCAGTTGAATTTCAGACCACCCGAGCCAGGCCAGCATCGACACCTTCCGTAATATTTATTAGATAAGCCATGCCCGCTCATCAAGTTTCGAAATCTTGCGCAAAAGACGAAACCAATTTCACGCGCGCTTTGTCGCGCGCGCATTTCGGAATCCTGTGAAAGCCTTCGGTTTCACACGGGACTCCAGATCGAAGTTCCCGAACGCACGTGAACGGCAACGTTGTCGCATAATGCAATTGTCAAGCAAATCTGTGCGCGGGCACTCTTGCGAATCTTTAAATGGGTTATATTTGTTTCAACATCTTCGTCAGCTCAGATCACGTGGGCCTCTCGCGCGCGCATGTCGACATCGTTCGAGCGCGCTTGCACGCCTGCTGGGGGGGGGTCATCTGCGTCGAGCAATGCCGCGCGGGCCACTCGCGCGCGTGGGCCGCGCGCGCGTTTCGAACTCCTCCAAAAACCTTCATCGCCGACGCGTGGGCGCCATCGCCGTCGGCGGCGTGGCCGGCATCGGTGCCGTCGTTGGCCTTGCCGTCATCATTGTCAATATCGTCGCCAGCGTCGCTACTGTCATTCTCGCGTCTGCCGCGGTCGACGTCGCCGTGGTGCCGCTCCCGCCCGAACCGCCGATTCGCGCTGAAGTGCCCGCGCGCCAGCGCGGCTTGCGATGCGCGCTGGGCAGTGCGCGGCTGTCGGCGCCACCGCGGCCGCGTCGGTCGCGCCAGACTAGCCTGCCGCTCTGCGCGCGACCCTGCGCGCGCTAGCGTGGCCGCGGCGATGCGCCGGCTAGCGCCGAGCAGTCATCGCAATCGCCGCCGCGTGGGCGTCGCCAGCTCATATCTAGGATGGCCGATGGCCCAGAATCACACACGCGCGCGCGCATATATATATATATATATATATATATACATATATATGTATATATATATGTATATATATATATATATGTATATATATGTATATATATATATGTATATATATATATGTATTGATATATATATATATATATTGCAATGAAAGGGGCCCAGGGTGGCCGATGGCCCGAGAGGGTGGGTGGGTCGATCTCATTCTTCTTCTAGAACGGGAAGTTCTCCCTGTCGAACTTGAAGTCGCCAGCTCCACGGTTCGCGCAATCATCCGAACCGCCCGCCTGCAGCGTGCCTTGCAAAACCCACGCGGCGGCGATTGCGATGACCTCTTTGCGCTGGCTCGAACGTAGAGTGACTCGCTAATCTGGCGCGACTGGCGCGGCCGCGGCGGCGCAGACCGTCGCGCGCTTCCCGGTTCGTCTCGCAGACCGCGCTGGCGCGCGGGCGCCTCAGCGCGAGTCGGTGGCTCGGGCGGGCGCGGTGCCGTGGCGGCGTCGGCAGCGGCAGGTGCAATAATGGTAGTGGCGATGCTGGCGACGACGCGGGCCATGGCGACGGTGAGGCCAGTGACGGCGCCGATGCTGACCGCGCAGATGGCGATGGTGGTGTCCACGTGCCTGCGATGGAGGTGGTCGCGGATTTCGACGTGCGCGCGCGGCCGACGGGCGCGAGTGGCCCGCGTGGTATTGTTCGACAGGGGCGGGGCCCCCCCCGCCCCCCCGCCCCCGGCGCGCGCGCGAGGGCGTCCGAGCGATTTTGAAATG